GCACCTCCCCACGGTGAAGCCTTCTCCCCACCGTGCTTCCTCCCAGCTCTCCCTGACCTCTCTGATGTGTCACCGCGTCATCTGCTTAGCCACTTTAGTCACCATGGCACAGTTACTCTTCTTTGTGTGCGTGCCGCAGCGACGCCAGTTTCCATTCACCACTCTCCAAACTCCATGAGGGTGCGGACTCGCCTAGCAGTGTCTACACTTGTTAGGTGTGCACCATGCATTTTCAACGAAGGATGGCTCTGCACCAAGGCAGATATAAAATGGCGGAAGGCGTGGGCTTTGGAGACAGATCTGGATCAGAACTGCTGGCTCTAGATGGGCAGCATAACCTTTGGGTAACTTACCGTCTGATCCTCAGCTTATTCACCTGTAAAGTTAAAGGGGATAATGAGGACCTCTCTTGGGGCTGCAGTAAAGATTAAAGGGAGATCTTAAGTCCCAATAGGTAGCTGGCACTGGAACATCCCTCCGCATGCGTGTCCCTTCTAAACTCATTTGCATAGCATTGTAGAAGTTGCAAATCAGTCTCCGTGATTTCTTTCTTTCTTTCTTTCTTTCTTTCTTTCTTTCTTTCTTTCTTTCTTTCTTTCTCTCTCTTTCTTTCTTTCCTTCTTTCTCTTTCTTTCTTTCTCTCTTTCTTTTCTTTCCTTTCTTTCCTTCTTTCTGTTTATTTATTTTTGAGAGTGGGGGAGGGACAGAGAGAGGAGACACAGAATCCGAAGCAGGCTCCAGGCTCCGAGCTGTCAGCATAGAGCCCGACGTGGGGCTCAAATTCCGTGAACCACGAGATCATGAGTTGAGCTGAAGTCGGTGGCTTAACTGACTGAGCCACCCAGGCGCCCCTAGTCCGCACAGTTTCGCGGGAAATGTGATTTTATACACCTAGGTAAAGACTCAGGACTGGCCGCAAGCAGACCTGAGTCCCTCTTCCAGTTCTGCCAGTACCTGGTTGCATGATAGAAGGTCAGAGTGACTCCGATCCTCCCTGTCTTAATCTTCAAGGTGAAAAGTTTGGACAGGATTAAACTTCTATCTTGCAGGCTCCACCCTTATGGCTTTGGCTCTGCTTCACCCCTGCGTTATTTGCTTATTACACTTTGTTTAAAAGTTGACTTTAAAGGAAAACCTTCCATCACCACTGTAAATATCACATGTAGGAGGTGACAACAACCAGTAGAACGAAAACAGAACAGTGTTACAGAGCTCTTGCCAAATACTACTTGCCCCCTGCCAAGGCTCAGAGTCTGAGGCACTTGGCGACTTTGTGAAGAAGGGAAACTAGCACATGCTAGAGAGGTGGGGACAGCACAGCAGCACTTAAATGAGACATTCTACACTCTCTCAGAGGGCCATAGGAGTTGAAAGGGCACAAGTGAGTCAGTGTCCTTAGGTGGCCTGTGTGGCAGTAGCACTCAGCCAACCGGGGGTGTACCTGTTCCTCACCTGGGAAAACACTGGACGCAGTCACAGACCCGGAAAGGACCTGGAAGGTCACTGTCCCACCTGTCATTTAGGAGATGAATGAGCCGGGCCAGGTGTGGAGATGGCTGCCTGTGCCCTTGACCCCTGCAGTGGGAGATTCGTGCCTGGCTATGCTTGTGCAGTGGCACAACACTGAAACATGGGGAGCTCCGCCAGTGTGGCCGGGGAAGCCCCGCTCCAGCCACAAGCAAGCCACGTACGAACTGCCTTCGTGGACTATAGCCAGTACTCTTAGTTTAAGCTCAGTTCTAGTATCTGTGAGTGTTTTTGGACCGGCTCTCTGCAGGCCAGCCCCCTTTTTGTTTGTTGTTTTTTGTTTTTTTGTGTGGTTTGTTGTGTGTTTTTTTTTTAGAACAAGGTACATCACTTGCAATAGCCTCCAGTCCCTTCCAAAGACTCAGGTCCCTCCAGAGCACTTCGTTTGCTCTATTTGATCCTGTTCCTTCATGTTGGTGAGAAGTAGGGGGCGCCTGGGTGGCTCAGTCGGTTAAGCCTGTGAGTCGACTTCTGCTCAGGTCATGATCTCACGATTCGTGACTTCAAGCCCTGCGTCAGGCTCTGTGCTGACGGTGCAGAGCCTGCTTGGGCTTCTGTCTCTGCCCCTCCCCTGCTCATTCTCTCTCTCTCACTCTCTCTCTCTCTTCTGAAACAAATAAACATTAAAAAAAAAAAAAAGTAATAATACCTATGGAATGAACACAGCTAGTATCCTTTCAGAGTCACAAAGGAGTTTGGCATGTAGATTATACATACTTCCTTTTTTAAAAAAAAACAGCTTTTTTGAAGTGTAATTGGTACATAAAAAAATCACTGGACATATTTATTGTGTGCAGTTTGATGGGTTTGGAGATATGGACATACCTGTGAAACCACCACAAATCAAGGTGATACGTATCTTGGATAAAAATGAAAATTACAAAATAGAAAATAAAAACAAATGATAAACATTTACTTCCTAAAATAAAAAGCTTCTGACTGCCCCCTTTCCACATTTTTGGTGGTGAGAACACTCAGTATGATGTCAGCTGAGGGTTCGTCATATATGGCTTTTGTTATGTCAAGGCGGATTATACTTTTGGTGGTTTTATAAACAATACTGAAGAGAGGTGGACAGCAGGGGCACCTGGGTGGCTCAGTCAGTTAAGCTTCTGACTTAAGCGCAGGTCATGATCTCATGGTTCATGAGTTTGAGCCCCATGTCGGGTTCTGTGCTGACAGCTCAGCCTGGAGCCTGCTTCGGATTCTGTCTGTCTCTCTCTCTGCCCCTCCCCTGCCTGCGCTCTGCCTCTCAAAAATGAATAAATGTTAGAAAAAGAAAAGAAAGCTGGATAGCAAATAAAATATTTGGTTCAATGTGGAGATTTTACCAGATTATAAAAGAGCTTAAAACAATAAAATACCGTGTTTTAAGTACTGATCTTAAAAACAAAAGCAGATTATTGTGTAAGTTAAGCAGCAAGAATAAGACGAGGCCTTACGGACACCAGAATGTTTCTGTTCTTCTCCGTGCTACATTTGTCCTTGAATTAAACTCCATGCTTCTTCCCACGATCCCGATCACCTTCCCTTTCCTGAGATAAGTGGATAAACCAACCTAGTCGTTCTCAACTTTGGCTGTAAATTAGATTACCTGGGAGCTTTAGAAATCCCGGGGGAGTCCCCGGCCACACCCCAGACCAATGAAACCTGTGCTTCCGGAGTCAGATCAGGCCTCAGTGGTTTTTAATAAAGCGCCACAGGGACTGACGGGGCCGCCAGCCTGGAGAACTGCTGCTCTGCTCCACAGGCCCCGGACTTTGGGGCTGCCCTCCCTCACAAAGGAAATCAAAGCTCTGTACCTTTACCTGTGAAACTCTTACTCGGAGCCAGCAGGACAGCTTGTTAGCTAAATACCTATTGATATGATTCTCCTGACGCTTTGCAGAAGAGAGGCCAACATGCTCCCCACGATCACTGTCACCCTAATGCTAATCTGGGAAACAGCTGCTCATGAGCTCCCGTGGCGGTCACAGCTCAGGCTCACAGAGGCGTTCCTGGGCATTGAGTAACTCCCACAAGGTCGCAGAGAGCAAGTGTGATTCTGGGCAAGCGAGCAAACTGACACGGGGCATTGGGCACGAGGAATCCGAATGTAGTAAATCCAGCAGGAAAATAAGCCAGAACCACTAGATCCCTCCGTGTGATCTTACTGGAATACATTTGCTCCTGTCTTTACAAACTCCTCTTGGGGAAAGCAAGCATCTGCAGCCAAAGGCAAACCTGTAGCATCTGCTGAAATGAGTTACTTCCGAAAATTCAAATGACTGTTGCAACTGTTAAGCACTAAGCCCGTCAGACCATGTCTGTACATCCTTTGGGGTTCATTGGTGCTGAAAATGACATGACAAAAATAAGTAGGGAAACTCCAGTTACATTACACGCAAGGTCATCCAGGGATCTTGTTCTGCCTCCTCCCTGGCCTCACCAACAACTTCATCCAATCACCCGTGCACTCATTCATCCCCGTTATCACATATTTACTGGGTGCCTACTGTGTATAACACATTGGGCTAGATGCCAGTGATTCAGTAGAGAACAGGTGATGTGTTCTCTGCTCTCAAAAGCTTACCACCCACTCAGAGACGTGAACGAGGTAGAAGGACTTGCTTCCCGCACCAGGAAAGTGACTTTCTCCATTCACAGTCTTCCCGTCCGAATCAGCCGCCCGTGGCCCACTGTGCACTCAGCGTCGTGAGATGGGCACAGAGATGCCTGGGCTGACCGGGAACAGAGCTGCTGCGGTGGCCACCAGCCCCAGACCCGTGTCCCTTGTCCAGACGACCCGTGTCAACTAGTTGGAGTGCCTTCTCTTCCCCTGTGGCAAAGCCTGTGGGATGCCGGTTAGTTACCAGAATGTGCTTGGGGAACAGAGATGCAGGATAAACCGGGAGTCTGTTGGGCGAGAGTCCGGCTGGTGGACGTCTGCTGGGGGGGGGACCAAATGCCCAGGCATCTGAGCCTCGCGCCCTTGCCCTGCTCCTTTTCTGGAAGTCACTCAGGTCCTTGTCTTTCCATCACGACTGTACCTTAGGCCATTGCACTTCACCAGAACACAATTTGTTCTACGGTAGCTACATTTTAATCTCATGATGGATGTGAAACAGAGCCTGGTTGCCTTGGGGTACACTCCAGGTTTTATTTTTATGTCGTCTTCTAGGTGGGTTTCTCTTCTGCCTGTGATACTGTCTTCCAAGATAGGTTGATGCTTACTAGTTTCAAGGGGTGCTGTTTTTGACCTTGTACCAAATGCTGGGGGCTTTTCTGATCACGGGGGGTGGGGAGGGTGTTCCTTCCGGGTGAAAACAACTACGCTTCCAATGGCTTGTGGCTGATAGGACATCACCTGTTAAGTTATAAACCCAGTGCTTGAATCAGAGTCAGAACAGGATTCTTCTCAATTATAATTGAATGCTTTTTCTCTTCTGCCCAAGTGAGTTTAATTTCTTTCTTCTTCACTGTTTCTTTTGTAGGGGTTCAGCTGTTGCAAAAATAATTGGCAATAATGTCAAGAAACTTAAGAAGTTTGCCTCCACAGTCAAGATGTGGGTCTTTGAAGAAACCGTTAATGGGAGAAAACTGACAGACATTATAAATAATGACCATGAAAATGTGAAATATCTCCCAGGACACAAGCTGCCAGAAAATGTGGTAAGACTTTGGGATAGATAGTACTTTGGGTCACTTCTGAAAGTTACGCTTGGCTGAGTTCGCACTTGGGGCTTGGGGGAGTGGGAAAACTATTTCCTCCCTTCCTCCTTTGTTCCTTTCTACCACCAGCTTCTTGGCTTGGTCAGTTATGGTTTGCCTGACTCTGAAGATGGGCTTTCTGTTCGTTTGCTAAGGCTGCCGTAAGAAAGTACAATAGGAAAGGTGGCTTAAACAACAGAAATTTATTTCCTCACAGTTCTGGAGGGTTCAAGTCCAAGATGAGGGTGTCACCAGGCTGGTTTCTTTTGAGGCTCTCTTTGACTTGGAGATGGCCGCCTTCTTCCTGCACCTTCACAGGGCCTTCCTTCTGTGTGTCTGTGTCCTAACCTCCCCCTCTTACGAGGGCACCAGTCATGTTGTGTTAGGGCCCACTCTAGTGAACTCATCTTAATGTAATCACCTCTGCAATGACTGTGTCTTTAAATATAGTCATATTCCGAGCTACTAAGGTTAGTAATTCAACATACGACTTTTGGGGGGTGGGGACACAGTTCAGCCCATCGCAGGCTACTCTCTTGGCATTCAAAGTGTCGGTCCCATCAAAGATGGAGCTGACAACCTTTGCCTTCTGCCACTTGTGATGCCCCTGTCCTGATATTCCCTTTCTAAGCACATAGACTTGAGTCTACTTGTGAGGACAGCTAATGCAACGGTCTGTAATTAAAATTAGGGTCAAGGCCTAAATTACAGAAGGAGATTGGAGAAAATAGAAAATTGTAAGACTGACAGTTTAAAATTCAGGCTTATTAGGTTGAGAGGGAAAAATACAGGTTAATTGCCTGGCCTCATTCCAGGGACTTGGAGGAAATGGGGGGGAGGAAGAAATGAGCAAGAGGAACAAAAAGCGTGCACTGTGCTGCTAGCCTGAGATGCGTGGAATCTGTGAACTTCTGTTGCCAGATTCGCCCCTTGGTGGTTTTCTGCAGTAGTCTGAAAAGCAGACCATTGTGACTGCCCGATTCCTGTCTGCCTGATTCTCCGGTTAACCTGAAAAACTCTACTTTGTTAATGAAATACTCATCCCTACGTATACTTAGCAACATTTATGCGCATGTACAGCTCTTGCAAAGCACAGTGACAGTTGTCAGAGACAGGAAGGGGGAGAAGATGACCGACCAACCGCAGCTTTCCTCAAGGAGCCCAGCAGGGGGACAGATTTGTAAACTGATACATGCCAGGAAGTTTGGAGATGCAAAGACCTTGCTCACTAAAGACTGTTGTTTGGCTTGTTGGTTTTTTTTCCCAAGTGTTTATTTATTTTGAGAGAGAGAGAGAGAGTGCAGGAGCTCAAGCATGAGTGGGGGAGGGGCAGAGAAAGATGGGGAGAGAGAGAGACAGAGAGAGAGAGAGAGAGAGAGAGAGAGAGAGAGAGTCCCAACCAGGCTCTGGGCTATTAGCGCAGAGCCCGAAGTGGGGCTCCATCTCACGAACCGTGAGATCATGACCTGAGCCGAAATCAAGACTCAGATGCTTTACCGACCGAGCCACCCAGGCGCCCTTGATGTTTGGCTTTTGGTTACAGGGTACACTGCTATTAAGCACTGTGCTAAGTAGTTTATATATCTTGTCTCATTTAATGCTCTCAGTAACCCTCTTAGGTTGATACTATCAGTTTTCCTGTTAGAACGATGACGTTGACTTTATGGCGGAAGAGACTGAGGCTCAGAGAAGTTAATGAACCTGCCCAGGGTCACATGGCTAGAGGCTAGGGTTTGATTCCTGGTGGACGCATCCTGTTGGATCCATTGTCTTTTGGACAATGAGAACTTTCCGCTCCGTATCACTACGCTGGGGCCGGGCAGTTACTGGTGTTGTTGGCAGGGGGAGAAAGGATCCCTGCGGTTCTGAGCTCAGAAGTTAAGTTGTGCAAATATCCGGGGGGAAGAACGAAGGGAGCCTCTGTTCCCACTGCCGTGAAAGGCCTCTGAGGTCATCTCTGACCCATGCTTGGAGGAGGAAATTCCCGAGTTTCATTTCGCATTCCTGTCAGATCGATGGCTCCTTCCCTTCTGTAAACTACATGCTTTATTAGTACGTTCCGTCCACTGTGCTTTGTGCCAGGCCCTTATGTACCTGTTCGCTCCCGAGTGCATGAACCTGACTTTCTAGTTTTCTGTTTTTCCGCAGTTCCTGGTGCAGTGCTCAAGGAGTGCTGGGGAGGGGAACCTGCCAAGTAGGTCTGTGAAGCTGAAGCCCTTACCTGGGAGCATGGGAGCCAGGAGGGAGGAGGAGGGGAAAGAAGTAACCTAGAGGAGTCAACAGCCATTGCCACTCAGAGCCCGACCCCCACACTGACTGACTCCACCACCCACCCATGTGCCTGTGTGTGGACAGAGGGAGGAAAGGAAGTACCAGCTGCTCCCAGGACTCTGTTGATATCTGAAGCCCTGTAAGTTCGTGAAAGTGAATGTATCCGTTCTCTGGTTCGGACATTGGCGTGGTTTCCAGCGCTTTGCTGTCATGGCCCGCGTTCGCAGGGGTGGCGTCACAGGGTCACTGGGAACACACAACCATAATTTCACCACATCACACCACTGGTTTCCAAAGTAGTTGTACCAGTCTGGACTCCCCCCAGCATGTTTGAGGATTCACATTTTAAAAGAATGTTTGTTTATTTATTTTGAGAGACAGAGCGCGTGTGAGTGCAAGCGGGGGAGGGGCAGAGAGAGAGGGAGACACAGAACCCGAAGCAGCCTCCAGGCTCTGAGCTGTCAGCACAGAGCCCGACGAAGGGCTCCAACCCATAAATTGTGAGATCATGACCTGAGCTGAAGTCAGACGTTTAACCTCCTGAGCCACCCGGGTGCCCCTCATACATCTGCAGTTTTGACAAGTTCCCAGGTGGTGGTGATCTGTTGCTTCAGAAACCACCCTTTGGGCACCACCAGTCTACATAAGAAGTTCATATTTACTGGTGTAGTATTGGGGAATCCAGGCGGTTAACAGCTGTGTTTCTCTAGAAGCAACCTTACTTACCAGCAGTGGCATATTTATGTAACACTCTTCAGATAAGGTTGTCTGTATCTGAGGATCATTTTTCTGAATGTAGAGCCAAGGACGTAAATTTCACTTACGATCTTGGCCAAAATGCAGATTAGAAGAACAGGAGGGAACCATAATATTTTTGAACCTCTGCTGTGTGCCAGCTACGACTTCGCTATGTGTGTTACTCACATGCTGTTGTGTTTAACCTAAATACTCGCTCCCTCAAGAATGTAGGTGGGTTCCCTGTGGGTGTCCAGTTAGCTGACCAGAGATCAAGCTAGGCCAGGGTGTCCATATACTTACAGTGATAACTAATCCCGGGGGGTACAAGAGAACCTTTAGGCTTCTCCACCTACATTTTACCAGCTCAGTCTTAAATGATTATACATATATATATATATATATATATATATATA